GTCATAATTTCTAAGACTTGTAATGTCACAGGAAAAAAAAAAAAAAAGTGGCCTCTCTGTGGTAAGTTTTGCCTTTAGAGCTGTGCCAGATTTGGTTTTGTTTAGCAGGAAAGGGTAAACTTAATAGTTGCAAAGCTACCCTGAAAATGAAATTAAAAGGTTTTGGTGGACAACTCAATAAACCAGGAGTCAAACTCTTAAATTCCTCAGTGTACCTGAGTGTGTCTTCCACATCTCCCTTAGCCATACTGAAAGCCGATGGAAACCAGCTCTGCTCAACAGACTGTGTTCCTATTCTGGAAAACAGCATTTTCTCATCTCTGTCCTGCCCAATGTCAAGTCCAAAAGAAACTGAACAAATGGCTAACTGTGGGGCCTATTAGCACACCAAAGAGCATGCTTGCATCCTGGCTCCTCCCAGCTCTTCTCACTCTGCCCCTCACACTAATTGTCTCCAGCTCATGGGCCTCCTTTTCCAGCTTCTCATCCCTGTATAACCCTACCATTTTAGCCATGCCCTCTCGGTCCTCTTGAGCTCCTCTCTCTGGCTCTCCACACTGTCCTCTCTCCTCATGGCCGGTTCAGTCTACTGGTCATGTCTACTCCTTTCTCTTCCTCTTCTGTACTCTTCCAGATGCCTCTGGTTGTTCTCTCCCTTGTATCTTCAATAAAAACCTTCCCCTCAACCATACCTTGGAGCAGTCATGACTTCATTTTACACATCTGGTGCTGAAACCTGGAAGGGTCACATATGAGCTCCCTTCCAAGGGGCTCGGCCTCTCCTAACCGAACCAAGCTGCTGATGTGACTTTTCCTGTATATGTATGTACGTAAGGGTCATTTGTTTCCGCTGCCTTCTGCCACCCACCATTTGTGGCCTATGACCTGAAGACCAACCTGTCTATTAGCATTCATATCACACTGACTTCACTGTAGCACTCTCAAATTTCTACCTGTCCCAGGGACCTAAAATTCATTTAGATTTAAAACTACAGGTAATTGGGGATGTTTTATTTTTGGTTATACCAACTGGGCCCACTGCTTAAAGTAATAAACTAGAAAATTATAAAAGAAAGTGAGGCAAAGTCCATAGTTTTAGAAGGGAAAATGGCAAAAGAATACCTTCAGCTAAAAAAAGAAAGCATCTTTTACAATGTTGGGCTCTAAGCCCTGCGTCTCTGAGATATCTAACTCAAGGGCCTTAGAGACAGAAGAAAGGAACAAGGAAGTGTGAACGAAGCTCCCAAAATACACACCTTTGTTCTTGACAGGGAGCTGAAGCTGGGTGTGGGGTCTCCTGCCTCTAATTCTAGCCGAAGAAGCGGAGGTAGGAGGATTGCTGCAAATTCAAAGCCAGCCTGGGCTACACAGCAAAACCCTGTCTTAAAAAAGAAAAGAAAAACTTAAATTAAAAAAAGCCTTTTATATAAGGAAAAAATTTTCACTTAGAAAATCTGAAATATTTTACTAGCTTTAATACAAATTTTGGCGAGATATTTGGGATATAATAATTGTACTCACTAAGTTTATGAAGATAGACTTGAAAAGGCCTGGAGATACAGGCCTATAATCTCAGCTACTCTGGAGGCTGACACAGGATTCCAAATTCAAGACCTGATAGGAATATAGCAAGTTCAAGGCCAACCTAAGCAATTCAGTGAGACAGTTTTAAATTCTAAGTACATGGAAACAAAGGATCAAGTATAGAGTACTTGCTTAGCGTGCATGAAGCTCCAGGCTCTGTCCCGACTATACACACACACACACACACACACACACACACACACACACACACACACATGACAGGCCTGCCATGAGGTCATCTGATTTGGACAGAGTTAGACATCCAAGTTAAGACTAGGCAAACAGCCACGTACAGTGGCACACACTTTTAATCTCAGATTTTTGTTTGTTGTTTGGGGGTGTGCATGTGCCACAGCACACACAGGCAGGTCAGACGTCAGCCCTGCCGAGTGGGACCCTAGATGGAACTCGGCTGTCAGGACGGTCAGGAGGTGCCCTCTACCCCTGAACCGTCTCATGGCCCTGCTTCAGGCATTTTCACATCTGGCTGCTAAGGTGAAAAGGGCTGTAAACACAAGAACGGAAGCTGAGAGGCAGTCAGAAAGCTGCTGTTGCTCCAGGAGAAAGCTGCTCCTGACCTGGACCTGCAGCTTTTGTAGTGAATGACTGGACTTGAGACAGATTTGACATTAATGGAAGGCTGGATATGGGAATCAATGATGGCTTTTGGAAACTGGGTAAGCAATAGTGCTTATTCTTTACTGAGGACTCGAGAAAGAGTTCTGGGAGACAGAACCCATAGCTGTTTCTGTTAAGTCTGGCAAGATCTGGTTATGCTGAGGAGGCAGTGTCCTACTGTGCAAGGATGGAAATATGTAAAAGGGAGTCATCCGTGTTTCAGTGGTACTTGAAGCTGTTAGAAGGGATGAGATCATCTAGGGAGGAAGTGCAGAGAAGGGACAAAGGCCTTCCTTATGAGGATGGTTATGGATCATGCAGCCTATCCTAAATCAGAAAGCAAGCACTGAAGGGCATAAGAAAGACCTCTGGGCCTCTGCTCAAACATGTGCCTGTACATCTGTACTCATCTGTGTACAGTCTCATATTAACATGTATGTAACACACGCACAAACTGGATGGTTGATTTTCTTTTGCTTTGTTGTTTTGACACAGGTTCTCAAGAAGCCCTGGCTGGCCTTTAACTGTACCTAAGGATGACCTTGAACTCCCAACTCTCTTGCCTCTACCTTTCAAGTTCTGGGATTACTGCTGTCCAGTTTACTGGTTGTAATGGGGGGGGGAATAAAAAAATAAACCTGTGTGGTAGTTTGAATGAGAATGGCCCCTATAGGCTCATATACCTGAATGCTTGATCTGCAGTTGGCAGGCTGTTTGAGAAGGATAAGAAGAATTAGAATGTGTGGCCTTATTGGAGTAGGTGTGGCCTTGGAGTAAGTGTGTTGTTGTGGGTGGGCTTTGAGATTTCAAACGCCCACAGCAGGCCCAGTGTATCTCTCTTGGCCTGCTGCCTGTAGATCAGGATGTAGCTCTCAGTTACTTCTCCAGCATCGTGCCTGCCTGCCATCATGCTCCTACCATGATACTAACCCTCTGAAACTGTAAGCAAGCCCCCTGTTAAATGCTTTCCTTTATGAGAGTTGCCTTGGTCATGGTGTCTCTTCACACCAAGAGAACAGTAACTAAGATAACCTGGAACAGAGAAGATGAAAAGGATCAGATTAAGGAGATATTTGTAGTTCCAGACAGAAGCTAATAGTAGCATGATCTTTAGTGCTAAAAGTAGAACTGAAGAAGGGCAGTGGTGGCTCCTGCCTTTAATCCCAGCACTGGGAAGGCAGAGGCAGGTGAATCTTTGAATTCAAGACCAGCCTGGTCTACAGAATGAATTCAAGGACATCCAGAGCTATACAGAGAAACCCTGTCTCAAAAAACCAGAAGAAAAAAGGAAAAGAAAGCTGAAATGTAGAGTGACTTGAAAGATACCCACTCGTGATTCGGTGACTTGACAAGGTGAAGGAAAAGGAAGAGTCAAGAATGACTCCCCCAGCCACGTGTCCTGGTTCACACCTGTAATCCTAACCGAACACCAGGAGGATGAAGAACTGCTGTAAGTTTGATGGCGGCTTGAGCTCAAGAGTCAGACCCTGACTCAAAAAAGGAAAGTGAGCTGGGGAGACGGCTCAAGGGTCGAAGTGTGTGCCCTGCTATATGAGGAGCGGAGTCAGGGTCTCCAGAACCCAGGTAAATGCCCGGTGGCTTGCAATGCCTGCCTCAGAAGGCAGGGACAGGGCTCTCCAGCACAAGCTGACCAGCAAGACTAATTGTACTGACAAGCTCTGGGTTTGATGGAGAGACTTCGCCTCAATTAATGAGGTGGAAGAGGGATGGAGGCTAATTCCAACGACAACCTCTGCCCAGTATACATGTAAATACACATGCACACCACACACATGTAAACACATGTAAATACACATGCACACCACACACATGTAAATACATGAAAATACACACACATACCACATACATGTAAATACATGTAAATACATGTAAATACACATGCACACCACACACATGTAAATACATGTAAATACACATGCACACCACACACACATGAAAATGGAGAAGAGAAATAAATATTAAAAAAGAGCAAACAAAGAGAGATCCCCAGTTACTGGACAGTTACTCCAACACCTAACTGAAGATGTATACATGCCCTTCCTGGGGAAAAAAAGGGTGTCTTGGAAAATAAATTCTTTGTTTTTTCTTTAAATATTATTGTTGTTTTTGTGTGTTATTGTTATTATTTTGTGTGTACGGGTGTTTTGCCTCTATGTATTTCTGTGCACCACAAAGAACTTAGTGCCCACAGACGCCAGAAGAGGACATCAGATCCCCTGGAACTGGAGTTACTGATAGTCGTGACCCCTGTATGGGTGCTGAGAATCAAACCTTAGCTATATGTTGAGTTTTGGGCCAACTTGGGCTACATGAAACCCTGACTCCATGAGACTCCAAAACACAAAACCATACTAAGAAAAAAAAAGTAAATAAAGAAAGAAAAATAAAATTAAGAAAAAAAAAAAAGAACAAAACCACCAAACAATAAAGAAAGCAAAACAAAACAAAACGACAAAAACAACCCATGTTGTGACAGGAAAACATTTCAATGGAGGAAGTCTTTTTTTTTTTCCCATGCCAACTGATAGCCTTGACTAGGGAGTGGTTATAAACTAGAACGAACCCTTTGATTATCTGGACATTGCTGTGCAGAGGGGTTGGGTGGGGGAAGCTGGAGCGCTGAACAGGTGTCACAGACAACATGGCCCCACCTCAGGAGTGGTGGGGCTGAAGACCAGTCCTCGGCAGCCCAGAAGACAAGGGTTCTCGCCATCTCTGAGCCGGTCGCCGTCTGGAGTCGGGGGTCCTGGAGGCTGCCTGAGACTTGGTGGTGGCCGGTGCTCACGGCCATGGCCATCCCCTCGCTGCCTCCCCAGCTCTCCACACCCTCCGACCTCCAGCCGCGGTCCATCCAACCCGCGGGACGCCTGGCGGGGGTCCGACGGGGGGACCCACGGCACGGATCACTCCAGGGGCTGACGAGGGCGCCCCCCAGAAACTCCCTCCAGCCAGACTCACGGGACCCCAGACTCACGGGACCCCAGACTCACGGGACCCCAGACTCACGGGACCCCAGACGGCGGGCGGTTACCTCCGCCTCGACGCGCAGGCTTGGCCACACTTTCTCACCCGCACACTGACGAGGGGTCCTCAGCACCGCAGAGAAGTGGCCACGCTTGCGCTCCCGCTCAGAAGCCTCCTCTCAAAGAGAGGACGCCGGCCCCAAAGACGGCAGGCCCCGGCCTCGCGAGCCAGTCTCTCGGAACTTGGCCTCCAGACAAATCCTCCTGCGCAAGCGCAGCCCTTCCCGCCTTATCCTCTGCGCACGCGCAGGTCTGAAGCGCGGTGGGTTCCACAAAACTAAAACCTGTGCAAGCGCGCACAGTCTCGGGCCTTATGCGCAGCCTCCTGACCTTTCCATATGGATTCTCTGAGTTGGCCGCAGTGTGCTGTGGAGTTCTCCTTTTTTTTGTTGTTTGTGTGTGTGTGCG